AAACACAGGCTTTTAAAGCTACTCCCTTTATAGCTTTTTTTTTTTCCAAACAGAAGACAGTCTCACATGTCCCATTATTTCCATACATATCAAAGGAGGGTGGAGATTTAACTAGCGATTTCTAAAAGACATCTTTGTGCACAGAAGGGATGTATGCCAAAACGTGGGTGGTTATAAGCCCAAACACAAAGAAGAATACATCCACAGGCATTTTTCCCCTTGATCCATTAACGGGTCTGCATACCAGCCTCCTGAGCATATAAGAAGGACCTTGTTCAAAAGGTAAATGTATTCAGAAAGATGACAACAGACAGCAAATAATCCACATCCTTTAACTATGTTGGAGGCTCAGCAGCACTGGGTTTTTGTTGGGAGCCACTGAAATTTGACAGGCTGCCTCAGGGAAGGTATCCTCCTGAAGGAACCTGCTCAGGAAGCCTCGCAACTCCGTGAACACTGCCACACCTAAGGCAGGCTGCAAAGCTCAAGGTGGACACCTAGCTCAGATCTCCAGAACTCCTGCAGCTTTTCTCCTCTGCACCACGCAAACCACCAGCCAGCCAACAGCATCGTGTCCCATTGGGGGGGACCATAAGGCCCCATGGAGGCTCCTCTCTACTGCACCTACCAATGTCCAGGGGGAACACGTACAATAGTCTTCATCTGGTCCCCATTTCTCTTCTGCTGAGCCATTTGATTCCATTCAAATCAACGGCTGGTTGCACCAGCTGGAGCAAGGGTTCATCCCGGGCATCCCAGCCTGATGGCAAGATGGTAAATTTGAGCAGACAGCAAGACTTTCAGATTCATTCTGTACTGCTTTGATCTTGGAAGTTTCAGCTTGGTGTCCAGCGATGCAAGAAATGGGATACATATGAAACCAGCCAGGAGCACTTACCACAAGAAAGGCCCCATTTTTTTTTGTTCATTTTTTAGTGAAAGACTCGGCCAGCCAACAAGGATGAGGCACTCCGTGCAGCAGAAAGGTATCAGCATGGTCAAACCTTCAGAGTCAACAAGAGCACATCTGTACACTTCTGAGTTGCAACCCAGATATCACAAGTGGTGTAGAAAGCACAGATCATCCCACCACCAGAAGTGGGCAGCTTACCCTAGCAGGCTATCCCTGCTTTTTATTGCTCTCCAGTCAGCACCATGGCTGATCCTGGTGCTACTACTCTCTTTTTCAGACCTTGGCTGCATTGAAATCTGCAGAACAGGAACAGGGGGTTCCCTCATGGGCAGAAAGCCAGGAATAGGAGCAAAAGGTGCTCTGATACTGAGTGCCCACAAGTGGGTTGAGTTTATAGGTTCTGCATAAGACACCTTGACTGTTTTAACAGATATTTTTCAGCACTCTGGAACTAAAGGGACCTGTAGCCCTTGTGTCTGTGACATCCACCCACACTCAGCACCGATGCTCAGGTTTAGGCTGTGCCCACTGCCTGTAGGATGGCTCAGTTTTGCACATATCGGTTGCAGACAGAAAATTAGGCTCTGGGAGCTGAGAGGCTGTGACTGTTCTCTAGTATTTAGAAGCAGACATGCTGGTCATCTTTTCTGAAGTGACCAGCAGCAAGATGCTCACAAGGCTCTCATGTTATGATCTCTTCTGCTAGCAAGGTATGCCCTTGGGGCTGACTGCACACACAGGTGGATGGCCAGCAGCACGGCCAGAGATGGTTATGCTACAGGATGCTGATTTTCAGAAAATAAGCACGACACACAGCATACAGTCCTCCCTGGACACTTGCAGCATCTCCCCATAAACACTTGCATTCCCACCTGGTACTAGAGCTTATTTATATGGTGATTGCTGGGCAGAGATAGATGGATGCAGCTGGCCTGTCACCTGCATTTAGCCTTTTTTTTTTAATGACCACAATGAACAGCATGTTCACCTGCCCAGTGTTTTTGGAAAGAAGCTAAGCAAAACGCACAACTTGTAATCCTGAGCACATGGAATTGGTTTGAAAGCATCTCCTCTGGGGTAACAGGGATGACATCTCTGGACTTTGCCTGTGTTCCAACATCTTGCTCATGGCTTTGGCACAGAAATAAAGAAAGAAGATCCCCAATGCTTAAAGCTTTTTGTGATTCCCAGACTAATTTCCTTCCCACCCCAGGAGAAGACATAACCGGAGGATAAAAGAAAGATTGTATTTTCTGCTGAAACCCATCCTCTCTCCTGCCAGCATAGAGGTGCCACCTGAACTTCCCTGCAGGAAGACACCAGCATTTGCACATCTTGTGATACACACAGGCTCTGCTCTACACGTCTGCATGATGACTGGAGACTTGGAGCCTGCCACCCATGAGAGGAGCAGCTCAGGCAAGTCCAAGGTACACAGTTGTGGGAGCCTTGCTAAATTCATATGCTGGGTCCAGTGGCCCAGCTACAATTGAAGAGCAGCAGCAATCATCCTAGCAAGGGTGGAAAACCAACCCTGGGCTCCCCCGGGTGAGCTGCTGCAGCTTGAGCAACTTCCCAGAGAGGAAATTGTCCCTCACAACGTGGGAATAGTGGCTGGGAACCAGACCCCCACACCGTGAAGTGGAGGAACACGGCAATTGCTCACTTTGCCTCCAGCCAAACCACTCAAGAGCACAGAATTTTGCATCTGTTTGGGTGGAAACTGTTCCTCAAGTGGGGCAAACTGTGGCCTGGCCATATGCCCTGACCAGCTCCTGTGCCCCATCCAGCAGCAGGCACCAGGCAAGGTGAAGCCCACTCCCTCTCCCATGGAGGAGAAATCCCTGCCAGGGAACGAGGGCAGATCCCCAGCCATGAAAGCCATGGTGGGACGAGCAGGGCAGACAGTACCCAGCCAGGCTCCTGCCTTGCTCACACCATAGAGTTTTCATAGCTGCAAAAGTCAGTTCTAGTGGGAGTGGGCCACTTTGGCTTAAGATATCTTACACATTTGGTGCTTTAGGCATCCTCCAGTTGCAATAATCCTATGCACCCAAACACACACCGCATCACCCCTAACACTGAAACACAACAGACACCTCATGAAGAGGAATCACCTGCCTCACACAGAACAGGGCAACCAACAGTTGCACAGTGCCAGACGTCCATCAGAAGCCAAGCCTCTGAGAGGCCTGCAGACTGCCAGAGGCCATGGGAAGCCTCCCGTGGGCCAGCAGACTGACCCGCATTCACTTAGGTCCAAATCTTTTGCCTGCAGGGTTTGGTTGATTCGCCAGGACACCAAAAACTCCAGTCAAACAGAACAGCATGGAGTTACAGTCACAATTCTGCCGCTCACAGAAATGTACTGCCTGAAATGCAGACTGGTCTACCATGGCATTGAGAATGGGCACCTGCCAGGGATTGCAGGTGTCTGTGGTGTGGCCAGTACCCATTGCTGGATCTGTGGCAGCTTGGCCTTTGGTTCTTACTCTTTGCAGTTGCCAAGCCTGAACTTGGCAGCTGAAAGGCACATGGTGCCCCCTCAGCAGTGGTGCATGGTCCCTGCATGCCCACAACCCACCGTGGCACCTGGACTGGCCATGCACTGCTCTGCACGAAGGTCCCCGATTCAGATAGCTTTTACATCACACAGCAGAACAAGGTGAAGGAGGACCTGAACTGGGGATGAAGCACTTGGGAATCAGAAAGTCACCTCCAGCTTGCAGGAGCAGAATAGCAGCAGCTGGTCTCTCCCTCCTGGAGCACAGCTTCGCAAACGCTGCTCCAGCCCCTATGGCAAAATGCAGCCCATGGGACTGAAAGAGATGGCACCCACCCTACACAGCCCCAAAGCATGCTCTCCTTTGATTTCAACTTCATACAATAGCCAGCATAGACCAAAAATTGCTAGGGACACACTAGGCATGGGGTGAGGGAAAGAGGTCTCCTGACTGGGGTGGAGAAGTGGAAGAAGTGAGATGCCTGCAGGTCTCTACAGCAGGATGGGAGAGGAGAGAACACCACGGCTCTGACATAGCCACGTGAGGGTACAGAGAGCCACAGGGTCCTCAGCAGAGGAGCTGGAAGGTAGCAAAGCGAAGAAACGTGGGCTCATGAGCTTAGCTCAGTTTGCAGAAGCCAAAAGTTGGGCAACTCATCCTTCAATGAAAGCCAGGCTTCTCCAAGCCCAGAAGCTGAACTTTTAAGAAAAAGTGAGTCACTGCCAGGCACAGCGGCAACACAAGCTGCTTGCCCCCCTCATGGACTTTGCTCCCTCTGCTGTAGAGAAGCAGCCCGTGACACAGCAGGACACATCCAGGAGATTTAGGGCTGCTGGGCACACAGATCCCAGCCTGAGCCCGGGAACAAACCATCAGAAGCCAGACTGGTGCTCAGTGGGTGCCACAAGGCTAGCAATCACTCCAGCCTCTGCCACGCCAGGGCTAGGCACCTCTGTTTGCAGGGCAGCGCCAGTGTGGCTGGGCAGGGGATTGCCCTGCAGCCACTCCCAGGGAAACAGGGTGCTCAGCTGCCCGGCTGGGCTCGCCAGTCTCTCCCCTCCCCAAACAAGGATCCCCACATGCAGAACTTGACACTGAAAGGGAAGGATCCCTGCCCAGCTCCAGGGGTTTCTCTGAACCCCTGGATGCCCACCCAGGGCAAGAGAAAAGAAGCTGATGCTCTCCCCTTCCCCAGGCTCTGCAAGGGGACAGTGCCCACAGCCCCAGCGCAGGGCTGGAAAGGGGCAAGGGCAGGAGGAGTGCCCAGCATCCAGGCAGCCAGAAAGACAGGGCCCTCCCTGACCTGATCCATCCCACCTCCTCACTCCGGGGCTGCACCCCGACAAGCACGCTGCGAGGGGGTCAGCGCCAACAAAAGCCCAATGTTCCTGCAGCCACTGCCTGGGGCTGGCACCCAAGGGTACAGCGTGCCATCCGAGTAAGGGGAAGTGCCAGGAGAGCCGTTTCCCACTCCCGGCATTAGCGCCGTGTGCGGGCTCCAGCCAGGCTGCCCCGATAGCAGCTCCATCCCACGCAGCCCTGATCGTGCCCAGGGCAAGAGCCCTTCGCAGAGATCTCCTTACCATGTTCCCGGCCTCCTTTATTCCCCCTCACTTCCAAAGGCAGTGTTTTTTCTCTTTTTCCTCCATGTGTGCAACGGGGCGTCTCCTCTCCCCTCCGACGTGAACCACCGAAGCACTTTGAGTTCTGGACTGTAATCCAAGCCCTCACCGCCCCCAGCACAGCTCCAACTAATCTAACTCATGACACTACCGGGGCTGAGCAGGGGACCTCGAAGGTTTCTCTGACAGCCAACTCCAGCGTTAGACGGTGGAAGGGCATAGCGAGCTCAGGGTGCTGCGTTCCTCAGCCGTGCGGGGACCTTACAGACACAGGCAGAGCCAGCAACGCTCACAGGCTGCTCGTTACGGCATCGCTGCTATCTGCGTCCCTCAGAGCACGCCGGGCCCTCTGCACAGACCTGCTTAACGCGGATGCTTCGTGGCAGGGAGCTGCCTTCGCCCGGGAAGATCTGAATAGCTGCTGGAGGAGAACGAGCCCACAGCAGGCATCCCGAGAAGGTCTCCAGCTTCTCAGAGAGGTTTGCAGCAAAATCCTCCCCCTGCCTCCTCTTGGCTTGCTTTTCTCCCAAGTCCGGAGAACTTTCTCCACTCCGTGAGATCCTGAGACAGCACTGCAGGTTGAGAAAAGCACTGAGAAATACAAAGAGAGTGCTCTGAAATATTGTTTTTCTGAGTTCTAGGAGGAAAACAGAGAGGCAGTGACCGCTTCAGGCAACAGCAACAAACTGCATTGGTATCAGGCGAGAGATGTGGAGACCTAACCCCCTCCCAAAGGAGGAAGTAATTTAACATGGCAAGTTTCTCCACCCCTCCATTAATTGTTTAAGATGGCCAGGGGCCAAAATACTGAGCAGTGGGAGCAGTGGGGAAGGTCACTGAGCAGGCAGGCAGCAGCCTACAGAAGTGACAACGGGAAAAGGGCAGAGCCACAGAGGCGGAGAGGGAGGGGAGAGGCAGGTGCCGCAGGGCATCCCAGGATCTGCTGACACAAAGGCTTTGTGTAACGGGAATCGGGGTGGGAAGTGACACAGAGGCGAAGCCTCGGAGCCCTGGGCATGAGGTGCAGGGCCTGGAAGCAGGGACCAGGAGCTGCCTCCCCAGCCTTGGCCAAGCCGCGTGTGGTCTCGGCAGCCTCAGTGGGGACTGACCTTCCATCAGGGAGGCCACGGTGCCGGTACCTCACTGTCCCTGCTTCTGGGAGAGGTCACACAGACCCATCCATCCCAAGAGGAAGGGTGACTCAGGCAGGACATGAGGACCTACAGCAAGAGGGAAGGCATCCCCCCCGCATGGGCAAGCTCAGTAGAGGAGCACAGGGTACTTGCAACTGCTATCAAACACCTCTGCTGCCTCGGCTCAAGGCGCAGGCCCCTTCCCAAGCCCTGCTCCACAGGGCCAGCAGCAGATCCCACATGGGCTGCTCCAGGCTCAAGAACACCTTCAGATCCTCCTCTCTCAGGGATGACTGCCCTAAACCCCATTGCACATCAATGGCCCCCTGGCATGTTTTCAGATAGAACCAGCAAGCAAGGGTTCAAGCAGTCCTAAAGCTTGAATACATCAGCTTCAATACACCAGCTGCTTGATGCGCTGCTGGGTTTCCTATGGGTAGCAAGGACATGTGACAGTTCCTGCAGGGTTGCTGTTTGCTTTCCTTAAGTGGAAAGAGATGTCCTCCTAAAAGGGGATGCAACACTGACAGTGGACCAGAGCTGAGCAGCTGCCGCACTGTTCTGCTCTTGTCTTTCTAACAGCCCTTGCTTGCAGAGGCTCTCCCACAGCCTCTACCAGTTAGTCACCTTCTCCCTACAGCAGCAGGGCACTGCCTGCAGTGCCCCATAGCAGCGAGGACCTCCAGCCCATGTCAGGCGAGAGCAGGTGATAAACCCAAGGTGGGTGAAGGAGACCATCCCTTCCAATGCAAAGAGTATTAACAACCCAGCACAGGCACGACCTAGTTGTCCACAACAACTAAAGGAATTTGTGATCTTATCTGTGGATGCAGAAGAGCCTTTCTTTCCCCTTCGTATTCATGCCAGGAAGATGAGGAACCTGGCATACTTCCCCAGCAGAGACTCTGATCACAGATTTCACTGCCTGCACAAAGGAGCTTTGCCCTTCATCTGTTCCCCAAACACATGTCCCAGCCCACAGATGTGGCTGCACTTTTGCAGCATCCTCCCGCAGGTGCTGGGAGGCTCCCTACAGACTGCACTTCTCTGAGAAAGGGAGCACAGAAAGCAATGTCCCTCCAGCACACACGTGGCACAGAGCACGCTGTGACAAACCTGGTGCTATCAGAGGTGCCGAACTATTTTTGTTGGAGGCACAGCCCCCATGACAGAATAAAGGAGGTAGAAGAGATCCACCATTGCTCTCATGCCCCAATGTTTCATGGAAATATCCTCGCTGTTTCTTCAACTGCAGCAATACATGCAGGTTTCCTTTCAGGAGGCCACAGCTGTCCCAGGATAACCCAAGTCCTTGCACATGACTATTTTTATCTTGCAAACAGGTCTCTGCAATTACCCTGGGGTCTGCAGGGGGACTAGCCTCTGAGCAGAGATCTGAAGCCTCCAAGCAGGCTGGGTACCAAGACTGGGCTCTTCAAGGCTACTTCCAGCCGCAGGCCAAAGCCCCAAACAGTTATATACAGCCTGTTCAAAAGCCTGCTGTGGGGCTGAGAGGGGCCCCACAGGCTCCTGAAAGAGGGCTGATGCACAAGCCAGGAGCTACCTCACCTTCTGAAACAAAAACACGTGCTCCCCAGGCACAAAGGGCAATGCAGACCCAGGTAGAGCTAAGGGAACCCAAGAGCCCATGGCGACAAAGGGGATGGAGCAGAGAAGCTGCTCCCACGCTGTTACTGAACCAGTCAGGTCTCCTGCACCCAGACCTCTGGCAGCAGCTCCAGAGGGAGAACAGCTTTCCTCACCCCTTCAGGTGGCTTGCTCAGGCCTGGGAGGACAAGGCTGCCTTCTCCTTTAGCTCTGAGTTAGCAGCAGGATAAGACACTGTCAAGCCACCTAATTCCAGCTCTTTGAGGGCCAGAAAAAGAAAAGTGGCACTTTCAGGGGCTGGTGTAGGAATTTGCAGCATCCCCACAAACCCAGATGAGGAAGGCACCACGTAAGCACACACAGCCCAGCTCTGTTCCCTATCCTTTTTTCCACTTTGGTGACCAGGGACAGAACCAGGTGCTCCCCAGACCATACAGCCAACACTTGCTATCCAGGTCTTACTCAAACTACATAACCATTAGTACATGCTTTTTGCAGTGCAGCGGCCAGCTTGGTTGCAGAGGTGACAACTGAAAACTCTCCACAAGTTCCCAAACCAACACCACACAGGACGATGCAGGAAAATCGATGGCTGTATGTATTTATTCATCGAAGCAGAGTGGGGAATGGGTTGTCTAACACAAGAGCAACTCAGAGCACAAACTCGTGCCTCCCTACTTTTCTACACTGCGCTCAAATCTCAGGAGCACCTTCCCCCATCAAGGATTTCTCGACTGAAGAGCCTGAATTCAGCTCACCCCATCCCAGTCAGAGGCAGTGACATGATTTCCTGCGCTAAGGGGAACATCACACTGCTGTTTACTCATGGCTGGATCCCAATATAGCTTGCCTTTTTTTTTTTTTTTTTTTTTTTTAATTGTAAAGCTGTCTTTCCCTCCTCTCCTGCATTGTAGATCCATTTCCCACACAAGCACATGGGAGACAGCTGTAGCCAGCACTTCAGTGGGTGTTAAAAAGCCCCTCTTGACTGAGGCTGACAACAATGCTGCACTTGTTCCCCGACACAGTCTCTCACTGTCTCCTCGCAGGAGCAGCTCCTCGCTCTTGCACGAGACCTGCACTTTCCTCTGGGTTGGTTTAATTGCTGAAGCCACTGCAAAAGGCTGCTGTCATCCAGCTCTGTCAACAGAGATCTGTGTGCTCCAGCTTCCCTTCCAGCAGACCCAGGTCCTCTGCAGGGACTGATGGGCAATTTTACCCTCAGGGAACTGCTTTGGTACCTGGCTGCGGCAGCAGCTGTGTACTGCTAAGTACACTCTGTCCCCGAGATGAAACATGGTGAAAGGCAGCAATCGCTGACATCAGGAAGGATGGGCAGCCAAACTTTGAAGGCTGTGAGGTCTCCCCAGAGTTGAAAGAGGAGGGAGTGGGAGAGACATCAGTACACAAACTGTTCTGAAACTCCAGGGGTCATAACTTCAGACCCACATCTCTTTCCCCCCTGTCCCCTTCCCCCTTACTGGATCTGGTTTCTGGAGCTACAGTATTTCTCAAGTGCCTGCTGAAGCAGTACCACAACCTAAAGCCCCGTAAGAACTGGGAAAGAGGACAGGCAGAGGACCTCTGCCTTTGAGTCAATGCTAGCAGAGTTCTGTTTATTTGCAGTTGTGCAAATTGGGGAAAGCCCAATGCTTTTTACCAATAGGACTCAGCTGTGCTGGAAGAAACACAGGACAGATGTTTTGGATGCCAGATAAGGACATCTTCTGACCTAGGGGAAGTTGTGCAATATGCATGCTAGCTAGACGATTGCACTGCAGCGGCCAACAGCTCTTAGGAAAACACCCCCACACACTCCAGGTTAGTTTAGCATGATCACTGGTATAGTCCTCAGCACAGCAGAGGGAACCTCCTATGTCCATAGGGACTTCCATGGGAAAGGAAAGCCTGGGAGCAGGCTGTGGCAAGACAGTACTCCAGGACCTACAGCCCCTGCTAACCCACTGATCTGAATCTACTTCCAAGCATCTCCTTATGACCAGACTGGGGCTTCCCGCTGGCTCCCATGTCCACACACATGGCTATGCAGATGTCCCATGGATTAGGCTGTGCCCTGAAAGTACAGGTTCAAGAAAGCTACATTACAATCCCACCAAGCTACCCACTACAAAGCCCATTCCCCTTCCACTTGGCAGCCTGTAAAAACATGGGGAGGCACCAGCATTAGACCCCACTCAGCACAAGCAGGTGCCTTAAGACCAGTGATAGATGTTTTCTTGAAACAGGTTTTGTCAAAGAAAAGCAGGGAGTAGAGCTGCAAGCAGCCCTTTGTACCAACGAGGTTTCAGGAAAGAACTAGTTCTCTCCCCATTAGGGAAACAATAACAGGCTGTATGCAGTTTAATAATATTTAAACCTTTATTTGAGATCACAAGTAAAGCAGGCCTTGGCTTCACAAAAGCACATCTTGGTTTAACTAATTAATTTGATAATCCCCTACTTGCAATCCTCAGGAGACATTCAGCTTCTAAAGCAAGTAATTACCACTAAGTGGCAACCTCTCTGTGAGGCCCAGTCTGATTAGGGAAAAAATTTGTTAAGCCAGAAATAT